GGTACTGGGGAGAAGGCTTAGAAATGGAGTTTTCGGAACTGTTGAAATAACCTAGTGCAGTTCTAGTGAATTTCAGTGGCTCTGGTGAATTAAATCATTGTAAATGCTTCTGAAGATTCCAAAAGTTGGGATTTTTAATGTCATGTTACCCAACTCTAATATATTTGTTTTTTCTGCTCTTCCTCAGTGAATTGGTTCCAGCCTATGACTCAACTACGTTTGTCTTGGAAAACTTCAGGTAAGAATGTATCTTAAATTACTGTGACTATGGGGAAGCTTTTTCTGTTTCTTCCATCCATGAGTAGTATTCTTTAAAACGTAGAATAGTCTCTACAGAAAACTGTAGATATGAACTAAGTTATAGGAATTCAATCAAAAATTTCTTTTTTACCAGGTGAACAACAATTAACCCTAGCTAAACTGTTAGCTTAAAATATTTTCCATGATAAAGGCAGACTACTTATTTTTCTTTTTTAAAAAGATTAAATAATTTTGTAAGGAATACATCTGTTTGTATGGACACTGAACATTTTGCATGGGCCTCACGTGCTGCTACATGTTCTGTGCAGCAAGAAGGGTGGCTCTAGAGTGTAAGAGTGTAAGTGTATGTGCGGCTTGCTATTTCATGGACAGTTTTGCTTTGTCTCAATAGCAATTTTTTTTTTCCTTTCTCAATAGTACGCTGCGTCAGCGAGCAGATCCTGTTTACAGTCCACCTCTTCAAGTGTCAGGACTTTGCTGGAGGTTAAAAGTTTATCCAGTGAGTTATATTTTCAACTAGAGTTGTTATCCCTTCCAAAACACTTAACCAGCACTCATACACTTCACTTGTAAGGAAACATTAGTCAGTCTCTTCTCATGTTGTATGCAAAAAGCTGTATGAAAAGAATGTAATGAGGTTGTAGTTGATCATCAGGCACTGGAGTGTTGCCTCTGCCTCCAGATAGCCAGTGTCACCGTTCTCACCATGGGTAGCTTGGTTAATTTAAAAGCAATTAAAAATGGGTTTTACAAATATACCATAGAAACTTGAATAGATGTTTTTTACTATCTGAGTGGTTTTTGCAGATGTTTCTTTGAAGAACTGAGGTCTAGAATAACTTACCATATTTATGAATAATTACCTGGGAAGTTGTGAGGAGGACAAAGTATTAGTTGAAGGAGAATATGTTTGACTGTGCATCCAGTTCTCAAATGCTGACTTTAAAAGCATCTGTATTGTACTCATGTCCTTTCAGTGGGCTGAACATTCAGACTTCAGAAACAATGTCTCTATCAGTGCTGGAGTGCACAAGATGTGATTGTCGTACAGTCAGCTAGGCTGGTCAGTGCTTCCAGGAAGCTCTGGCTGCTGCTACAGCTGTTTGGAGAAAGAGGTGTTTAGTGGTGGAGTCCAAGTTCTGTTTGTTAGTGATTTACACAGCATCTTCAGAGAACTGGATTGATCTGTTAAGTCCACAGATGCACAGAATTGTATTGCAGTGCAGAGGTAGACCCTGTGTAAGTTTTCAGAATGTTGTAAATTCGAGTGACTACGTAAGGTGTGCTGTCAGAAGGCATAAAAATTTATTTTTTAAATGGTAAGTTGAAATATTTCTTCAACCTAGAGGATTCAAGTTGAGCCATTCTTCATCTTTGATCAAGGTGAGTGCGATGGAGGTTTTGCCATATTTTTTTCCTTGATTTCTGGTGATTCTAATGTAGTTTCTAAGTTAACTGACCTAACTTTTTCACATTGCATGTTTTTTCTAAAGAAATTGCTCTTCTTTCAAAAACAGAGTGGCTTTGAAATGCAGCTGTATGTAAAATATTTCAGACTAATGTTTAACCTGGGCTGTTTTCATGTTGAGAATTTAAGAATTGGACTATAACAAACTGCTAAGTAGATTTTATAAGCTTATTTTCACTGCTTTTTCTATACGTGAAATAAATGGTTTTTGCGATACGTTGACAAGTGTTTGTCTAAGTCTTCCACTTAATTGAATCCCCAAAATATTAATAGAGTAAATAAAGCTCTGTTTTGAGATGTCTGTCTGAAATACCAATACATATGTGCTTCCAGATGCAAACTCTATGTTGATTCAAGTTAAAGTACAAATTTTGGGTCACAGAAGACTTAAAAATCAAAACTGTAGCATGCGAAGTAAACAACTGCTGCAAACTCAATATAGATTGAAGCTGTTTTTTAAACTTCAGGGGTATATCGAGGTGTTTTGTTTCTTGCTTTGGTTTTTTCCTGGTTTTTGATTTTTTTTTTTAAATTAATTTCAGTTTTGTTTGTTTCAAGGATGGCAATGGAGTAGTACGGGGCTACTACCTGTCTGTGTTCTTGGAGCTGTCAGCTGGATTGCCAGAGACATCCAAGTAAGCGAACCTGTGGTAGGAGCGGCCATTCTCTTTTGCTATTGGTGAAGTGTCTGGGAAGGTTTGCAAGGAAGGACGTCAAGTTCTGTAGTGTTTCTAGGGATTGACGCAGAGCCCTCTTGAAAAGAACAGCGAGATTTCTGTTGTCAATTGAGCTTTGAGTCATGCTCAAAGATAATCTTTTAAAGCTGTTACTCAGTGGCTTTCTCAAGATAAAAAGCAAGCTGGCGAAAAAAACAGAGTATATGTCTCCTAGTATTCAGTCCTAGAGTTGGTTTACCACTTTACTCCCTGCTACTACTTTCTCCCCTCTTGTACTGTTTATGTAAGTTTTCAGTAAAAACTTTGAGACTGAATCACCTCTTCAGCTGGGCCTGCAAGCCTCCCAGGAAGTGCAGTTCTGTTAAATTGACAGTCGGCAATTCTGACGTCTGTGTTTTGGTATTAATACCCTGTGATCTTCCCCTGCATAGGTATGAGTACCGTGTAGAAATGGTTCACCAGTCCACCAACGACCCCACTAAAAACATAATTCGAGAGTTTGCCTCCGATTTTGAAGTTGGAGAATGCTGGGGTTACAACAGATTCTTTCGTTTAGACTTGCTTGCCAATGAAGGCTATTTGAACCGGCAAAATGACACTGTGATCCTAAGGTAAGGAATACAACTTAGTGGGGCTCTTTTCTGCTATCGTTTCACAAAGTATCACACCTACTGCTGAAATAGGAAATAATTAAGTAGTTGAACTTAAAATAATTGTGACATGTTTTGTCATAAATGGATTTCACTGTCATAAGCTTTAAAGAAGAAAATGTGCTGAAGGGAGTTGTAGAAACTAAGTACTTCTGTTTCTTTGAGAAGCAGCGATGCTTGACACTAATAAGCCTGGGTTGGAGATCTATAGCTAACAGAATTAAAGGAAAAGGCTGTTTTCTTTTAGAAACAGTTGTAGTGAGCGTAAGAGAACTTTGGGAATGAAGGAAGTTTGTAACGTAAGAGAACTAATGCTGTCAGTGGGAATTGCAGTGTTATGACAAAATATAGGACTTTTATCCATCCACTTCAAATACTCTGTGTACAGTCCTACTGCTTCTGTTGAATGCTTTGTAGCATGTTAATTTTGTTAGCGTTGGTTTGTGAAGATAACAACCTCTTCTATATACTTTTATACTTCTCGTACAAAATACTCGCTGTTGCCGTTCAGTGCGTTCAGGATACTGAGTACTGAAGTACATGGTGTCTGTTAAGTTTATTCCATTGCTATGTTTCAGGTCATATGATATTCTTACACAGGGCTTTTCAGATTTTGTAGGGGGAAACAAAACAAACAAACAACAAACCCAACCAACCAACCAAAAAAACCCCAAAAACCCTTTTAAATGTTCCTTTGAAGGTTCCAAGTCCGCTCACCGACCTTCTTCCAAAAGTGCCGAGATCAACACTGGTACATTGCTCAATTGGAAGCAGCTCAGACAAGTTATATCCAACAAATAAATAACCTTAAAGAAGTAAGTGGGGTGTACATTCATGTAAAGATCACCTTTTACTGACCAGTAATTACTTAGTTTAGGTTATGATGTTTGTTTGACAATTGTGTGTGTGTTTGGGTTGCTATTGGTAGTTTGATAGTGGCATTACTAAAATAGTGTATAGGGAAGTCAGCACACTTACTGGATTTGATGATGATGCTCCATTGTTGTTTTCTGTGTATATTTTTTGTGTATCCCTCTAATATTTAAGAGGCTTGCGATTGAACTTTCCCGGACTCAGAAATCACGAGGCATTTCACCTCCAGACACTCATCTTAGTCCCCAGAATGATGATGGTCCAGAAACAAGATCAAAGAAATCTGGGCAAAGCACTGAAGCACTACTTGAGAATGTTGCCTCTCCAGGATTAGCACGAGATAGCAAGGACGAGGACGAAGAGAAGATCCAGCAGGAAGACTTTAACGTAGGAGTTGTCTTTTTCCTGCCTCTTTGTATGTAGCTTTTTATGATAGGATAGCAACAGAAACATAAGTGAACTTCTGAAATGTAAATTAGATTTATCCTCTGTGTGGAAATAGGAGATAACACACTTGAGAGCTAGCGGTGAGAGATGATACTAGGGAGATGTTCCAGGGCAAAGCTAATATATCCCACCGCAAAAAGAAGTTTCCAGGTTGCAGCTGAAAAATACAACTTCTCTGTTACCAGCTTTTATTGTGCTTTGGGACCCTCCTAACTCCTGTGTGATAGTTTGATGCTCTGGAGAGACAGGGTTTCTGTTCGTAGCTTTTGGTGAATGCATCAGAGTGCCACAGAAGTGTTTCTTTGTGAAGATTTACTCTGTTTTTCCTATAGCACGAGCTCTCTGATGGTGACTTGGATATAGATCTTGGTGGAGAAGATGAGGTGAACCACCTTGATGGTAGCAGCTCTTCAGCTAGTTCAACAGCAACTAGTAACACTGAAGAAAATGATATTGATGAGGAAACTATGTGAGTAACTTAAGATAATCACCTTTCAGATAATCACCTTGTCTCCCAGGGCAATCATCTTAATTCCAGTGGAAACTGTTTCATTTGCTGTATCACAATTATGGGGTGTTTGGGATTCCAGTGCAATGTGAGGAGTGTTTCCTCTACTGGAAACAACATGAGGTGCTAGAGTTAACGCTAAACATTGAATTTTTTGTCATCTAGTTACAGTCTTTCTGATCTATTCATTTATTTTAGTGTGGTATTCTGTCTTTGACAAGTGATAGTCTGTGAAGGTTTTTTCTCAAAACACTATGAGGAAATCTGTGTCTACACTGGAACGGAAGAGAGGTTTGGTATTAGGAAGTGTTATTGTAGTAGTAGGAGTGTGATAAATACAGTTATTTAAACTAGGCAATTTAAGCTTCTTAACTGATATGATAACCTCAAATCCTAGAATCTTAATTAAAGCAGAATGTGTTGTAACACGTACAAATATAGAAGTTCGCAGGATCAGATTTTACAGTCTAGATACATTTGACACTTTTGGACTCTTAGTGAGTCAGTCATTTAATTAACACACTTTGATTTATTCTTTTTGTGTAGTTTGGAATGCAGAAAATACTATTTACAGTGCTTCATGTTGTTCTGAAGGTATGTGCCCTAAGGTTTAACAAGAGCTGACAGAAGCTAATAATTCTATTCTCCTTTTTCCATCCCATTCATCTCCTAAGGTCTGGAGAAAATGACGTGGAATATAGCAGTAACATAGAGCTGGAAGAAGGAGATCTCCTGGAGGATGCGGCAGCTGCTGCTACTCCTGGAGCATCAGGTATGAAAAACAGCCTTCAGAATTCCCATATATGCGAACGCTGCTGGATTCCTTCCTCTGTTCTTCTTGGAAGCGACACCAAGCTGCGTGTTCTGCAGGCATTTCTATTTTTGGAAATGCTGCATCATGTGGTTTGTACTGATTATTGCAGTGTAGCAGAAACATTTCATTGGCTCAATAAAAAAAGAGTAACCTTCTGAATGTGCTTGTTTAAAAATGATACAAAGTTGGAGGGAGGCTTTTCTGCTTCTTTGAAAACCCTTCCATTCCGATTGAAAGTAGAGTGACAAATTTTTAGTGATGTCTGGGTGGCCTCTGAATGCATGACGCATTCGCTTACGTTTTAGTGCACTGTGAAACCTGAAGTATGTGGAGGGACTAAAGTAAAGAATCCTTACAAGTCAAGTGGAAATATATTTTAAATGCAATAATGAAAAGGTGTTCTAAGATGTCTTGTAGCCTAGAGATGATTGTAGCCCAAATTAGCCATAGGTTAATAAGATTCTGAAAGAAATATATGTATATTGATTATAAGTATATGCATTTATGGCAAAGATAATCAGCAGTGGCATTCACCGGAAGTGTTTATGCTGCTGTGGAAGTCTGCTAGTGCTTGAAAAGCAGAGTTCCTGAACTGTCCTGCTTTTAGCTGCTGTTCCAAAACTTCTTAAATTCCTTGTGAAGTAGGAAGCTGAGGGATGTGTCTGTTCCTTCTGAAAGGACAGCCTTTGGAGCCAGGAGCACAGTGGCTGTGGAAACAGTATTTATTTAGGAGCTTTTGGAAAGTAGGTAATTTTTAACTGCATTTGTAAAAGCTGATGTAATCTCTTCACTTGAGCTTCTTGCATTTACCTGCTTCCACTGTTTTCCCGTCTGAATGTCAGTAGTATCACCTGTCTATGTTGGAAGGGAGTTCTACTAAACTGTACAATTTTAATCTCACATATCTAACTATTTTTTCTGAAGACTGTCATCATCTTTTGAGTGCCTTGGCCATTAAGCAGTGGGAACATCTTAACACAGAGCTCAGCTTAATTGAAGATCCACCCCCCCTTAATCTAACTGGCAGGGGGAACCTAGAAAGTTAATGTGCATTTCTTCAGAACAAGTGTGCTTTGTATTGATCTGTTTATAACTCTGTTTATGAAGAGAGATACATAAAAGATAGGAAGTGAAATACTACTGTTTTCTTCTTTCTTTTTTCTTTTTTTCCCCCCCTCTGGTGCTTTTTAGCTCAAACTTGTAGTTAGAATCATATCAGATTCCTTTCGAATCTGTAAATCCATTAAATAATACTGCTCTTTTGTTAAGTTTCTTGGAATGTTTTCATTCCTAATCTGCTTGTAGAACTCTGTCATGTTTTTAACAGGGAATAATGCATTGCCTGTGTCATGTGTACACACACCCTTTCCCTGCAACTCTTCCTTAGGTACGAACCATGGCTACACCAGTGCCAGTGGAAGACCTTCAAGGCGGGGAGGAAGTGCCCTAGGCTCAACAACCAGTTGCAGTTTACTGGATATAGATCCCTTAATTTTAATCCACTTGTTGGATCTAAAAGACAGAAGTGGTATGGAAAACCTTTGGGGCCTTCAGCCACGTCCACCTGCCTCTCTTCTGCAGAGCAGAGGTAACTGTACATCACACTTCAGATTATTTAATTGCAGCCTGGAAGTGTCTCTGTGAATGCAGTTCCAGAGTTGGAAGCAGCTTTGAGCAGGAGAGGGGGGAAGAGAGGGTGACAGGCAGTCCTCCACAGTGACAGCTCAGCTTCATATCCTCAGCTGTGCTTATCAGTATGCTGCGTCTTGCTGCTTGCGCTAACGCATTCTTTGTCTTAGTGGTTGACCGCAGCTTCAGAACATCGGGTGACTGAAATATAAACAGATGTGTGTATCAAGGAGGGTCTTCTCGGCTTTTCTTGGGGGTTGTGGCTGAGCTGGCTGTCAGTTTTGTGTAGCAACATTGTAGAGATACAGTTAATGCAGTTTTTTTTAACTACAACTGTGGGAAATGAATGAAAGGCCCCTTTCTAGAAGGGGTTAGCACTGAAAGACAAAACACCACCAGACAGCTATCTGCTGAGAAAGCAGTTGCACCTCTCGCTTCACACAGTTTATACACTTAGTGGCTGAGAGTACTAGGAGCATAGTGCATGCTAACAAGAAAATAAATCCTGGAATTTACTTTTGTATGAAAAAGGCATTTAAATTAGAACTAGAAAAATGTGTGTAATAGTAAGGCTGGAAAAGCACATGTAAGCACTTGTGGAAGAAAAATGGATCAAAATGTCAGAAGGAAACAATAGTGATGGTATTTAAATAATTGAAGACTTTGAGTATTTGTGGTTCAGTCAGGACTCTTGAACTGAAAACAGCAATTACCTTCATGTGTAGCAAAAGCAGGATAGCTGCCAGCTCTGACTCCCGTGGCTGTTACTGAAGGTTGCTTGTTTCTTTTGTTTTGTAAGTGAAGAAATAAAACTAAGTCAAACCTCAGTAATATATTTATCATGATGAATGCTTATTTGGACCTAGCTGGGCCAATACCGCAGCATCTTATTTCAGGTGATTCTGAAGTGAGCATTTGCTGACTTGACTTAACAGAAGAGAAGTAATGGTCCATTTGCTAGAAATAAATGCTTGCTTTTGCTGCAGCAATGTCGGTGTTACGGAATCTAAAAGCTAACCCAGCTATTTGTTCCTTTGTGATTAGCTTTTTAAATGTAGTCACATAAACAGTCAGATTAATTTCAGCTGAATGTAACCCGTATTTCCGAAATTGGCAGTCACTTCTGTAAGTATGAAGAGGGAAGGCAGCACAGAACATGAACTCCACTCTGCTTTGCCTGGAAAAAGGACTTGAAGAGAGGGCATTGTACTTTGCTGTATTTCTCAAGCAAGATTAAGCTCTCCTGTTGTGTTGAATGGCTTCCTGATCATCTTTACCTACTGGCTGCACAGCTAAAATTACCTGTTTTGCTGAGGTTCCCTTAAGGTTTCAGTGTTCCCAGAGCTTATTGAGGTCGGTCAGCCAAGAGAAAGCTGCTGTTACATTTGTAGCTTGCCAGACTTCACCTCCCAAGGTGAAGTTTTCTAAGAGCCACTTGGCTTTACAGTTTTGAACAACTGAATTTGCAGTGAAACGGGTACAGATTTTATGAGGCTTCAAATAGACATCAGAAGTGATCTATTTCTGGCTGAGCGACATGTATGCTTACTCAGGTAAGCTCCTCGACCTGATCTTCTGGTGCTGGGTACTTAAGGGAATTCCTTCCCTAGTTTCAGGTTTCTTTGAGTTCTGTGTGTTAACATGATACGTTGTTGGTATGCGAATTTTATACACTCAACAAATTTCATAAAAACCTGTAACAAATTTGACATTAACTGGTAACCAGGCTTGTGAACTCAAGCTTTCCTGGTGATACGGAGTAGTAACTCAGTTGTCATCAGAATTCATGTGGTGGTATTGGGAGCCTTGGTTCTTCCAGTGAGCAAGTTTTGGGGTTTTCTTCCATGGCAGGCAGAGAATGACAATCTGCTGTGCAGGTAGTGCATGCAACCTAAACATTACCAGTACAGCAGAATGCCTCTTTATCCCTTATTTTGATAGCAGAGCAAAAGAGAGAATTCTCATAGCTGTTAAAAATTCTGTCTTTTTATTTGAGAAGAGTTTTACTTACCTGTTGTGTTCTTTAACCTTTCCTTTGAAGCATCATCCTATTCTCTAAAAGATCGAGATCAACGGAGACACCAGGCGATGTGGCGCGTGCCACCTGACCTGAAGGTGCTGAAAAGACTGAAAAGTCAGATGGCCGAAGTTCGAAGCAAAATGTCTGATGTAAAGAACCAACTATCGGAAGTGAGAAGCAGCAATGCTGGCTCGTGTGATGGACAACCCAGCTTCTTCTCCATTGAGCAAGGCGCTTTAGCTGCCTGTGGAACGGAAAGCTGCAGCAAGCTGCAAGAGATAGGAATGGAACTACTGACAAAGTCTTCAGTTACCAGCTGTTACATAAGGAATTGTAAGTACATAGAAAAGGAGAGATGTAAATGTCACTCTTACAGAAGTCAGCTGTAAAAGTGATTTATATATCCAGGGCCCCTGGAAATAGACCTTTTGTAGTTACACATACTCGAGTTCAGCTGTAAGAATCCAGAAATGTAAAACCTGCAGTGCCTTTGAGTATGTAAATGTTACTGAAAGTGGTTTCAGTCTTTGGCAAAGGCACCAAAACTTTTGCTCTGCAACCAGTAGCACACCTACAGCAAGGTTCATACTTGCTCAGAGTTAGTCTGGGAAGTGGTGAACAGTGAGTCCCATAACCTGCCTTTCACACTCGCTTTTGACATCCTTTGTTACCTTGGACTTTGAATTTAAGAGCTGAAGGGATGGTTTTGCCTGTCCTTATCCTTTGTGCTTTCATGACAGCTGAAGCAATCTGGATGACACCTTCCTGAAGGGTGTCTTAGTGTAAGGCAAGCAAACATGATGTGTGGTCCTGGCTGCATCCAGAGTTAGCTCAGCTTCCCTCTGACCTCCATCAGTGACAGGAAGGGTGTGGAAGGAGCTTTATGAAGCATTGGGAGTTAATGAGCAATGAGACTAATATAAACCTTAACTTCACTTAAAACATGGAAAAGGACAGAATATTGTAGCAGTTCAATTAAATACTTGTCACTTCTATTTTTGCAGCTGCAAATAAGAAAAGTAACTCACCCAAGCCTCTTCGCTCTGGAGCAGCAGGCAGTCTGTCTTTACGACGAGTTATGGACTGTGGGGACAGTAATCTCCGCTTAAAGGGAGATGGTCAAACTTCTGAAGGTAAGCAGATCATCTTTATTTGTGTGATGTGATGCATCTGAGCATCTGTTGTACAGAAGCTTTTCAAGAAGTCTCTTACTTGAAACTGAAGTTTATCTGAAACTCGAGTGGGTCCTTTCTCAAATCCAGTTAATGTTATCGTACCTTTGATAGTTGGTCTGCTGTGAAACAGCGCCATGCAGTTGATCTAAACAGAGCATAAATATGTGTGTTACATGTTACTTCAGATCTCTCTGAAGGTGTTTCAGGAGCTAACTTTACAGTGAAAGTCATTGATCAAAAAGTACTGACCAGGCTTAAGTAGTAGTTTGGCTGTCAAATGATAGGACAAGGGGGAGTGGGTGCAAGCTGGAGCATAGGAGGTTCAACCTGAACATAAGGAAAAACTTTTTCACTGTGAGGGTGACAGAGCATGGCCCAGGCTGCCCAGAGAGGTTGTGGAGTCTCCTTCTCTGGAGACATTCAAAACCTGCCTGGACGTGTTCCTGTGTGACCTGGTCTGGGTGATCCTGCTCTGGCAGGGGTTGGACTGGATGAGCTTTTGAGGTCCCTTCCAACTCCTGAGATTCTGTGATTCTGTGTGATTTTGTGACTTAGAGAGACTTCAAGAAACTCTGGATACATGCAATGAAAGCATTGTGTGATATTGCTGCTCCTGAGTTTCACAATGCCCTTAAGTGTAATGAAATGAAATACCTAACACAGGAATTGGTATTTTGCTCCTCTCAAGTGTTCAGAGAAGGAATGGGGTATGACAATTGTTTTCTTATAATGCTAAAAAGATATAGAAGGGCTGGGTGAGAAACTTGATAATACCATAAAGTCGTTACATGGTGTAAGTGTGACCTCTGCACCCAGTCTCACCCCTGTCCCAGGCCAGGAATGCTGCCTTTACTGCAGCCGAACAGCTTTGCATCTGGAGCTGGGAAAAATGACAGTGAAGGACACAGGCATGTTTGGAACCAAACCGGTGGTGTACAGCAAGGGGCTGTTTAGCCTTTTGAAGTAAAGCTGGATGTGCTTTGAATTTCTCTTCCTCTTTTCTCAGGTGGCTTAGGGAGCTCGAAGCCGAGCAGCCGGCATCACCCTGCCCGCTCCCTGGCCAGCAGCAGCGCTTCGGACGTGCTGCCAAAGCCAGAGGAAAGGCCTTGTGAAGGATCCGATTCCGATGCGGGAGTTTCTGGCTTAAATGGCTTAGCTGCTGTAGAGAAGACCAGAAAAGTTGGTGCTCTAGGGTGAGGAGTTTATTCTTTTTGCCTCCCCCACCTTCCCTTGATCTAGAAAGCAAAAATCCCCATCTGCTAAAACCAGGTGCTTGTAGCATGGAGGAGAAATTACTCTGAAGTTTACTTGGTTGCTGCTGTTCCCTCTGGATATCAATTTCTGGTTTTATAACTCAGTTGCAAGTAATTTTTCTTTTTTTTTCTTTTATTTTGATCAGCTGTGGATGTAGTCTGACACTTTGATTTGAAAGGCAGGGCCAGTCTGTTTTCCCACTATTCCTTGCAAAATATTCTCTAACTGAAGGTTATCATTTTCGATTTCCTCAGTTAAGACAAAGTTTTTCACTGTGACTCTACTTTTCAGCAATTTCATAAGAATTCCCTGTTGGCTACATGAGCAAAGTGCAATGGAGTACTCAGTTTTTGTTAGTTGCTTTGGTTTTAGTTTGGGTTTTTTTAAATAGATAGCAAGAGTTTCCATTTTTGGAATTTTTTTTAAAAAATATTTAAAATATTTCTAAATCAATCAAACGTGGAAGTTTAGTTGGATATGCAAGAGACTTAAACAATGAGTAAAACTGTATGTGGCATTAAAAGGATTTGTTTCCATAGCTGAATTAAATCTGCAATTCTAATGTAGGCTTTTGTATTTCTCCTAAATTCTTTCTTAAGATCAAATTCTAAAGGATGTCGTACGGAAGGAACACAGTCAGCTGGTCTGGAAAACAACTCTGAAACTGGTGAACTGCAGGGTATGCTTTCTGAAGGGGCTTCTGCAGGGCCAGAAGAAGGTAAATCCGATGTTGTAGAGGGCAAACGCGGTGTGACAACTCTGTCTGTGATGATCCTTTTCTGTAACAGAAATAGCATGAAGGGGAAAGAAAAAGGGGAGGATGGGGGGGAACCCAAACAAAACCCCAAACCTGTTTTCATGGCTGTTGAACTTTGCTGTAGTATAAATCTGAATGGGCAGAGAACATCTCTGTGTCGCAGTAGTGGTGTCTGGGTGCAGCAGGACGTGAAGACCCAGCAGGTAACATTAGATGGTGCCGTGTGTTTGTCTCGACCGCTGCCTGCTTTTTTATGTACCTCTGGGTATGTCTCCAGGTCTTTGCTTTGGTGTTCAGCTGCCTGGCCTTGAAGATAAGGCCTATCTAATTAAAATAGTAGCCAGTGACCTTGGCTTTTAAGTCTTCTGCCTTCAGGGACAACCACATTGGTAACTGCCTCTACGTCTGCACTAGAATTTCTCCAGGATTTCATTTGTCGGGTGTTGTGGCATAAGCCAGTTTCCTTGGAGATTTGGAGGAAACTTTCCCCCTCCCTTCCTGCATCCTTTCCATGCTGGAAAAAAAATATTACTGCCTTTTTTAAAGTCCACGTAGAAGAGTTTTTCTTGTATTGCTAAAACTCTCCTGCCTTCCACCCCTGCACTAATTTGAATTTCAATGACTGAATTGTAGCGCAAAGCCTATATTAAGGTGCCAGCATCCATCTCTATCTGCAGTGTGCAATATTGTGTAGGAGTTGGCATTTACAGAAGGTCTCTCAGTGACAAAACTGAATTTCTGCTCTTAGTCACTGCGGCGTGATCGTGATGCGCTCCCGCAGCTCTCCTATTATAGCAGAGAGCCTAATAGGAAAATGTTTTAAAAACTGAAATACTTCATTGTTAAAAACCCCAGGAAATAAATATTACAGGGTTTTTTTTTCCTGTCGGAGGAAAATCTACAGTAGAGTTGGCATCTCATGTAACTACTTGCTTTTTCTTAGCAATGAGTATCAGCTCTGCAGAAGTAAAAGAACAGAGCAAACCCCTCTTGCCACCTGCAGAACTATACAAAAGGGAGAGTTTTGACTGCTGTCAATGCACACTCAAGTTCTGGCAGAACAAAAGAAGCCACCTTGATAGCCAGTAGCGATGGTTGGGGTTTTTTGTAGGGTTTTAGGGAAAACGTGGGGTTTTTGTGTGTGAGACTTTAACAGAGTATTGCTGCTTGAAGGGTCTGGTAGGAACATCTACTCCATGGGTCACGCTACCTCTTAACTGTAAAAAAGAGAAAAAAAAGAAAAGGAAAAAAAAAAAGAAAAAAGCAACCTTTCTTTTCTGTCCTAATTGGAAAGCAGCTGGTAGGGGAATGCAGCTCAGCCAGGAAGGAGCTGGGGACACCTGAGCCTGCTCTCAGCTGGTGACGGGTTGGAACTGCTCCTTCTCGAGCTAAGTTGCACAGTGAAATGAGGCTGTTTCTGAACCTGGTACCCACTGTTCTGTCAAATTCCTTTGTGCTTTGGTAAATACATTCAGCTCTGAACATGCTCCTTCTCTCGTTCTCCTGCCAGCTCTTGGTATTTGATATTGGGAACTCTTACATGTGAAAAGGTTGAATGCCTTAGCTACATAGATCTTACTGCCATCACTTTGCCTTGTGGTTTTTGTTTTTTGGGGTTGTTTGTTTTTTTTCCAGCTGGGGTATGTCAGAAGCATGTCCTTCATCTCCTACCAGGAATGAGCAGTGACAGTGACATTGAATGTGACACAGAAAACGAAGAGCAAGAGGACGCCACCACTGCCTCAGAGGGCTTTAACCACGCCTTCTCTGTCCAGTCCTCAAGTGAAGGTAGAACTGACTGTGAACCCCCTTCCCAAATGCTCCCATGGGTGCTGCAGAGATCACTGGTGGTGCTGTAGAGGTATTAAAGCTCTAGCAAGTGCCAGTAGGATCTGGAACTCCTCTCTTGGGATCCTAATTAAAACCAGACCAAAATGGGAGAGGGGAACTCTTTCTAGGCTTCAGAAGTCAGTTTAGGTGAGCCTCGCAGGGAGGTGTTGGAAAGCCCCACAGCTCTGGTCCTTCTGAGCTGCCAATCCCTGCGCTCCAGGAGCGGCTGGGGGAAGGGGCTGATCGCAGGGAGGTAACCACTGCCTTAGCTGTGGGTTTGCATTTAACTGGCAGAAATGTGCTCTGAGCACTTCAGTGTAGTTTCAAAAACTCATCTCATTTCTTTGAAAAGCTTTAGCTTTCTGATCAAATTAGAAGCTGTAAGGTGACAGCTGATGCTAGGTGAAGTTGGCTTTTTGGCCTGGATAAGCATCCTACACTGTATTATGGCCTTACAGCTCGGCTCAGTAACTGGAGTTTGCTGCCTTTCTGTGTATCTGCAGCAGGCACTGAAACCTCACAACTCATCAGAAGAATCAAAATATTGCTCGTATCTGTGCTTGACTTAAGGGTATCTTAAATTTAATACCCTGTGGCAGTCTGTAACGCTGTGTCGAGCACACCGTGTACTGGTGTATTAGGGATGCAGTGCAACACAGCGGGCCTCGAGGTGATGGGACGTTAACTTGGTGTGTTCTGATGGCTGGGCTGGTAAAGGTTACTGGGGTTTTGTTTGTTTTCAGCCTCAGAGCGGTGCTCGATGTTCCCAGAGGGTGATCAGGTTGGTCCTGATGATCTCAGCTTTGTTACTGGAGAAGACAGCACCAGGTAATTGTAACTGCTCGCCTGCGCTGACCTGGGGGCAGCTGTAGCCCTGGGGCTGCACCTTTCCTGTGCCACTGCAGCGATGGGAGGCAAGGTCTGTCTGACTGAGCAGACGGGCGGGTGTTGGTACAGTCAGACCTGCTGTGGTCTGACCGCAGGAGCGAGCCCCTGCTCTGCTGCTGTGTGGCTGCCCTGGCTCGCAGGGCTCTGCAGCTATCACCATTTTTTAAGGCAGCCTGTAGCAATGATGCGGGGCTGAGGCAGGGCCGGTGGAGTTCTGCATGCTTATGTAACTGTCAGAAAACGCTGGTTGGATTTAAGTACCTGGCATAAAATTTTAACTCTTAAGGTTGTATTTGCTTGGTGTCTTAAAACTGTCCCAGTGTGCGGGTTTTCAGTGAAAGCTGCCTTTCTTTGGAGCAGATAGAGGCGGGACTCGGGGCCTGAAGACCTGGCAGCCCTGGGAAGAGGTGCGTTTATTCACTGGAGCTTAGTCGGAGGCTGCTGTTCGTGGCTGTGTGCACACTCCGTGTTGTGGTTCTTCTACAGTTGTCTTAAACCTGATACTGGGGCAAAATGACCTTTGAAGGCCTTACACTAAAGGTTGCAGTCCTGCTGGCTCTGTTCCGGCTGGCTCTGCCAGCTTCAGATGCTCTGAAAAATATGTCCAAAAGGTGCTGGAGCCCAGTTTCAGGCTGTCTTTTCCTGTCATTGAATGCGTGAATGTTCTCGTTTTAAATGGTTGTTTAAGACT